CACAATAGGGTGTTGAGTGTGATCTTGAAAACATTCCAGATTTTCTATCAGTCTATCTCCAAATGCTTTTTAAAAACATCATCACAGTACCCTAAAATTTTGCCTTAAATTGGTCTTAATTGAGAACTAGAGTGGGAGTCTTTGTTGAAGTCAATGGATCTTGTCTTGTATCATCCACATCCAGAGGGAAGGCACTGGTAATGAACAGAACGATGTTTTCTTGGCCCTAGAGCTGGAAGAGGAAACTTCACAAGAATTTCCCCTCTTGCTGGCCTGTCCAGTGCAAGTGAGTCTGCAAAATGTCCTGTTATGATTGATTAAGTTTTCATTGGCTGGTTTCTAGAAGTAGTTCACCAGGCTTTTCTTCCTAGTGTGTCTTAGTCTAGAAACTACAACAAAACCTGTCCATCATGGATGACCTTGCCAGTCTTTGAAATACTAGTGGCTTAGCTTCCAGCATCCCAGCTACAGGCAAGCCAGCACAGTCCAACAGACTAGCAGATGACTGATGGGAGAAGCGTTAACTATCCCTACAACATGCTCTTCTAGTTGGTGTAGTTGTTGTGTACTGTCAAGTCAGAACTGACCCATAGTTGACACTTTGGTGGGTTTTCAGAGACAGTAAATTGGTGTCTTTCTCCTGTGAAGCAGCTGGTACACACACACTTTTTTTCTCCAGCTGTTTTTCAGGTGGATTGGGATTGGGACAGTGGATCTTTGGGTTAAGAGTACAGCTCCTTCCCTCCGAGCCCTACCTAAAAATCATTCAAACTTGATCTCAATAATATATTCAAGACCCTATTCATTCCTCCAAGACTCTTAATTGATTTGTAATGAATTTCTTTAAAAGAAAAATTTATTCACCAAATTAACAAGCAAAAGAATTGATTCAGTGACTAGGGTAATTGGAGTGGGTATGCCAGAGATAGTGGGATTGGCACAGGACAGAGCAGGGTTTAGGGCTGTTGTATATAGGATCGCTATGAGTCCCAAAGACTTAACGGCACATAACAACAACAAAACAACAAGCAAAAAAAATTTCCTCAGCAGCTGTCGAATTGATTGTGATCTGTGACAATCTACACGTCTCAGGGTAGAACTTCTCCCTAGAATCTCCTTGGCAAAGAGCCCTGGTAGCTCAAAGGTTAAGTGCTGGGCTAGGAGGTTGGTTTATGGAACCTACCCAGCAACTCCTTGGTAGAAAGACATAGTAATGTGGTTCTCTAACAAATACAACCCAGAAAACCTCACATTCTGCTCTATCACGTGGGGCCCTTAGGGATCAAAATTTACTCTGAGAAACCTACAACAATCTTTACTGAAGGGCCTGTGAGTGGCACGATATATTTGCTCTGCAGAGATTAGGGGAGGGTGACGGGAAAGGCAAGGTACAGTGAGGATTTGATAAGATGTAATAAATGGCACCTATCAATTAATGTTATAAAGCAAAAAAATACATATGGATGACTGAATGAAAACCAACAAGAAAAGCATTTGCTCTGGATTACTGACTAAAATGTTGGCTGCTAACCAAAATATTGTTGAATTTGAAGGCCCCTCCAGTGGCTCCAGTTAAGAAATGCCTAGAGAATTCCCTTAGTAAGATTCTTTCATTGCCTTCATGTCGGAAATGACTCATAACTGACCCTCCAGCAGATTTTTTAGAGGCTGTAAATATCATGGGAGGAGACTGACCAACTTTCTCCCTCAGAGCTGCTGGTGGATTACTTTGGATTGGCAATGCAGCTTCTTACCTCCACAGTTTTCTCAGTAAGATTGCTATGTTGCTGTTAGGTGCCCTCAAGTCAAGTAAGACCTATAGTGACTCTATGAACAACAGATCTGCACCCCATCCTATCCTGTGTCATCTTCACACTTGCTAACACATCAGAGTCCACTGTAGCAGTCACTGTATCAATCTACCTGGTTGAGGGTTTTCCTCTCCTTGGCCTACCTTTACCTTTCCGAGCATCTTATCCCTCTCCAAGGAATAGCCAGGCGCTCCTAGCAATATGCCCAAAGTATGTGAGGCAAAGCCTCATCATCTTTGCCTCCAAAGAGCACTCTGGCTGCACCCTCTCCAAGACATACTTGTTCTCTTGGGCGTTCATGAGATGTTCAGTGCTCTTCTCCAACACCACAGCTCAAAGGCATTGATTGTTTTGTCATCCTTATTCATTGTCCAGCTCTCAGATGCACTGCAAGTGATCAGAAGGATCACTTAGTCCTTAGTCCTCAAACTGACATCATTAATCCTTAATAGTTTGGAAAGGTCCCTAACTACAGACTTTACTAGTGCAACACATCTCCTGATTTCCTGACTGGTGGTACCAAAGGTGTTTGTTAATTGTATCTCCAAGTCAGATGGAGTTGTTGACAGTTTCAATCTTTTCTCCATTATATCAGGAGGCTGCCTACTGGTCCAGTAAGATTACAACCAACACTACCTTACAGAGCACTGGTCCATTCTGAACCACCAATCACCATGAATCAGGATATAAGGCAACTTGAAAACAAGGAAAGGAGTTTATGGAAGCAGATTTCCAGGCTTTTCTTTGGAGGCATCTTCTGAGTTCACCCCCCCCCAACTCACTGAGGGCACCTGGAGTTGCTAGATGCCTCTAGTGGACTATGACTAGACTAGGGAAGGAAACCCTGCCCCATGCTGCGCCTTCCTCAGTCTCCATCATGCTCAATCTCATTGCTGCAATCACTGTCAACCTCTCTCACTGAGGGGTATTCTCTTTCACTGGCCTTCTACTTTTCACGGCATGATGGACTTTTCCAAGGATTGGTTAGCAGTCCAGTGCCAATCTGGGGTTGAGCACTAACTGCGCCAGGCAAGGACCTCATGCAAGTCATAGCTCCTTATACTTTCATGTTGTTATCTACCTGCCCCCCTTTTTCTCTCAGGAAGCCCACTCACTCCTTTGCCCTTTGTGACCCTGCTCTCGCTAGGCAGTGCTTTTTATGGGAAATATTCCGGAATCTGGCTTCATCCCTGACACGGGAAGCTTCGTGATCTTCGCCAAGTAATTAAGCTATCGCTCAACTGGACACAACAGTGGCTCTCGGGGTTGCGAGGATTAAACAAAAGACATATATGACACGCAACGTGCCCAGCGCACAGCAACCGTCCACCGGCGCCTTTGTTAGTTCCCCTCTCCAACCACCGTGCAGAGCGCCCGGCTCAGAGCTGCTCCCGCTTTTGTCGTGGGGGATGCCGGGACTTGTAGTTTTACGATGCACATACAGCTCTGTCATTCGGAGCCTCGGGGCTAGTGGAGAACTACACGTCCCGGCGAGCCATGAGAAGAAAGCGGAGCCAGGGAAACCCAGCGACCCACCCCTCGCGTTCCGCTGCTTGCCGGCGGGCCACGGCGCCCGGGCTCGAACTGGGCACGCCGAGATGCGAGAATATTAGGGCGTATGCGCCCCCGCTTGCCAGGCTGCCAGGCGGCGAAGTGGGAAGCAAGGGCGCCAGAAAAGCAGCGATGTGCGCCCGCTGGGTGCCCTGGGGGTGTCCACGGGGAAAAGGAAAGACATAAAATGGGTCGCTAGCGAGCGCCTGCGCCCCAGAAGTGGAGAAAGCGAGGCCGGGAGCGCCCCCCAAAGGACTGGTGGCTGAAGGGGGCAGGGCGGCACCGGGGACCGGTCCTCGGGCCTGGACCCTTAATGGGTCCTCAATCCCACTTGAGCCCTCATCCCCAAGACAGGCTACCGGTTCCTGGAGTCAATGAGCTCCACCAACTTGGTTCCCATCCTGAGCCCCTCAACTCAGTCCCGTGTCTGTCCCCGAGCCAGGCCCTCTCGCGCTGTCCTCCGTCCAGCTCCCAGGTATTCCCCCAGCCTGTCCAAAGAGCCCCTGGGATCAGCCCCGCGCCCCACTGACAGCCAGGGGGTGGCAGCTCGGCCCGCGCTTCCCTCCGCGCCCGGGGCTCAGTGGACGCGTGTGCAGGGCGCTCGCCGTGTGGTTGCGCGTCCTGGGGCGGCTGCCGGTGATAAACCCGAGTGGAGCCCAGGAGGCGACGGCAGGCGGCCGAGCGCACGCCGCGGGGTGGTGGTCATGGCCCCGCGCGTGGCCGCTGAGTCGCCCTCTCGGTGGGCGATGTCCTCCCACGGCGCGCTGAGAAGACGCGGGTGGGCACCGTGGAGAGCCGGGCCCGGGCACTGGGGGTCGCCGGCGAGAGGAGGAGAAAGAGGAGGAGCCGGCAGGCGGGCGGAGCGGCCGCGTTGGAGCCGCGCGCGCGCCGGGCTGAGCCTTTGCAAACAAGTGTCTGTCGCCGGCCGCCCGCGGCCCTGGGACGCGCGCTCGCTCTCCCGGCGCCCGCTCGCCCT